TCTGTGAGGTGAGCGACCAAGGGAACATTTACAAACGTTCACGCAGTTATTAATGATAACGGTAGGGTTAATGTTGATGAATATAGACAAAAACCAGAAATAGTATTAAGAAGATAATGATGATAGTTGTAAAAAGACTAATATTCATAAAGATAGTAGTAATACTGATAACAATAGTAACAGTAATAGTAAGAGAATCATGATAGTTGCCCCATCCTGGCAAGCCAAGGAGCACTTTCTTTGGCATGGCACCAGTCGCAGGGCGGCAGAGGCTATTGTAAGAGCTGACTTCCGCGTGCCCAAGGACTGACCGGGCCCAGAAAGCAGTCGGAGGGATCGGATGCTGAAGAGGTCGTAGGGAGCTGCTGGCACAGCTTGTCTCAGGAGATAAAGAACGGCGCGCGCTACGGTTGTGGTCTGTATTTCGCTGAAGACGTCGGCAAGAGTTTAGCTTATGACACTCAGAATGCAGCATAGAACGGTTGTAAGGCGTTCTGGTGGGATTATTCGTGTTCTGACAGAAGATTTGCTGCACCGTACTGCAGGCTCCTGTCAACACATCGTCTGATGGACGGACGACCTCGCAGTTTCTGACGCTCGGCACGTCTTTCTGTGTCTTCTAGCAGAGAATTCAAAGAGCCTCGAGCAGTCACGCCCTCAAGCGAAGCCTACTCTGCCGGGTGCTGTGTGGCCAGATGTATTACACCAGCGAAAGATATGAACTGGATGCCGTCATCTCAGCGCACAAGGCGCCGGTGCTCAACTGCCCAAGTCATGTTTAATGCGTGGAACGGGGAGCACCGAGCCCTGCACTGTACGAGCGCTTCAACAGTCTTAACTGTTTTAAGACGTCCGGCAGAGCAATTCTGGAAGGTTGGCAAGAATTCCGTCCTTGCGAATCCTCTGCGCGAAGGGCCTCGTGAGTTCATCGTGTGGCATGAGATGCAGGTCGGCAGCCCACAAAGCATAATGTGTACGTGGCCCTGCAGGAGGACACTCCACCGAATTGCATCGCAGGTCTACTCCGAGTATCTCCTGGAGGTCACCGTGCGCGATGAAGACCCATAGCGATGTATCCGGGAGGGGCGCTCCCTCTCAGACCAACTGGACACACGTGCGAAGTCTTTCAAGGAAGTTTCCTGACCTGCCGTCGGGAGAGGTTAGCTCTTCTCTCGGATATGGCAGGTCCACAAAGCACGTGCCCAGTGTCTTTTTCTTGTCTTCGGACTCCTCGATTCCCCGATCCCCCAAAATGCCTTTGCGGGCTGCGCAGCCCTGTACAGCCGGAGTGTGGGCCGTGGCACACCGGAGGTCCCTTTCAAGCTTGCCTGGAAGTGTGCACCATGAGACTGCACTGGACTGACCGCCAGTGTTGACGGCACCTCTTCCGTTCCTGCCGTCACTTCTCGGGGTCAGTCTCGTGTGGGGCCGACAGCTGAACCCAAAGTGGCCCCGAAGTGTCTGTGCTTCTGACCGGAAGAGCCCGAGCTTCCGCGAAACATGAGGGTCATCAGTTGTTGGCCCTTCCAAGCTCGGTCGGCACTCCTTTCACGCTGGATTCTTCCGCGCATTTTTGGTCTGCGCCGGTGAGCACCAGATCCCGACGCATGGGCGCAAGTCCTTGCCCAAACTCGGCAGCCGTAGCTCGCTCGCATTCGCTTGCATCTTGCAGACTCGAAGAGTCAGGCAGGTGGACTCCATAGTTTATCAGAGACTCCTTTTCGATTAAAACAAATCCATTCTGAGAGGCCACAAAGCACGACAACGACGAGAGTTATGCCATGGGCAACTACTATCATCCTTGGATTGATGCCTGCCGTGTCCCGCAGCTTCTGGGCAGCGTCATGCCTAGGACAGATAGGAGCAAAGGCCCCAGACCCTCTGCGCTGCTCCCGCTCCTGGCTGTTGCGGGGTTGTCTTTTCTTGGTTCCAGCTGGTCCTTCACGATGCAGACTATCGGCATGCTGACCGGAGTGACTCGTCTCAGGGCAGGCACTGGCTTGATTCGCATCTCGGACGTCTGTGTCGCCTTTTGCCGAGGTCAGCTACGTGTCTGTGTTAAGCATTCTGTCACAGGAACGTGCACCGTACAGGTACAGTTGTGAATGCCAGGAACGGGCCGCTCACTAAGGCTCGAACCCACCGACGAGGCAAGGACCGAGTCAAGGAAAAGTGTGAGAGTCTGCGCTTTAGGAACTAGTTAAGGAACGCTCCGTTTTCTAACATGGTAGCGGAGCACTCCGAAGGAAGTGCGATGATGCTACTGGAGCTAGCTACGGCCATAGCTGCCGCCATGGGA